TAGGGTTTGAGGTTTAGAGGTTAGGGTTTGGGGTTAGGGTTTGAGGTTTATGGTTTAGGGTTTAGGGTTAGGGTTTGAGGTTTAAGGTTTAGGGTTAGGGTTTGAGGTTTAGGGGTTAGGGTTTAGCTTTAGGGTTTGAGGTTTAGGGGTTAGGGTTTAGCTTTAGGGTTTGAGGTTTATGGTTTAGGGTTTAGCTTTAGGGTTTGAGGTTTATGGGTTAGGGTTTAGGGTTAGGGTTTGAGGTTTATGGTTCAGGGTTTAGCTTTAGGGTTTGAGGTTTATGGGTTAGGGTTTAGGGTTAGGGTTTAGGGTTAGGGTTTGAGGTTTATGGTTTAGGGTTTAGCTTTAGGGTTTGAGGTTTATGGTTTAGGGTTTAGGCTTAGGGTTTTAGGGGTTAGGGTTTAGGGTTTGAGGTTCATGGTTTAGGGTTTAGGGTTAGGGTTTGAGGTTTATGGTTTAGGGTTTAGGGTTTGGGGTTAGGGTTTGAGGTTTAGGGGTTAGGGTTTAGGGTTTAGGCTTAGGGTTTGAGGTTTATGGCTTAGGGTTCAGGGTTAGGGTTTGAGGTTTCTGGTCTGGGGTTTGAGGTTTAGGGTTAGGGTTATCTGAAGGCTTTAGGGTTTAGGGTTTAGGGCGTTATTCTGGATAGTGGAACGCTGCGTAACCTCCCGCTTATACAGGGACATATACATATATATATATGGGTTACCAATATCATGTCTAGACCCCATGGCAAACATGGCTCTGACCTGGTTTTGGACATTTGAATGTCTCCCTGTGCCATTTGCCCTGAATTGTGATACATGACGTGATGAAAGCTTCAACCATCACACGTGTCATGGAGTGAGCCTCGCGGGAAACCAGTTTCCAAGGAATCCTTATCTCCGGTTTTTTGTGAGATTTGAACCACACAGGTCCACATTCAAGATGTCACCCACAAGCCTTTGTTTGAAGCTCCAATTCCAGACGATTAATGCCTGCCCACCTCGGCTTGTGGGGCATCTGCTGTGCTCTGAAGCAATGTGTCGAAGAGATGCAACTGGTGCCATGGCAATAGCTGGCAAAAAAACTGCAAATTTCCAGAATGTCAGCTTATATGCCCGATTCCTAGACTCTAAGAGCTGGTTCTACGAACTCCTACAAAATTGGGATGTCAGATCGACCAAACTGTAGGGGATTCCTGCCACATCATCTGAAACCACATCCTGAACAGACCCTAAACCCTTAACCCATAAATCCCCAAAGCCCTCAGCCCTGAACCCCAAAACCTGATCGCCTGGACCTGAGTTGCGTGCGGCAGCTCTTTCTGCTGCCCTGGCTTCGGTCGGCCTCAGCGATTTTGGGGCTTTCCCAAAATGGGTGACAACTAATTATAGACCCTGAAAATATATGAGGCTATATAAGCCTAAAAAGGAGATCAGAGGGGTCCTTTTGTGATAATATGTATGTAGCGGTATTTTCCTCAACTCCCACTTCCGAAACATTCGGGATGCCTTTCCGAGCGTGTGGGAAAGGATATATGGGGCAATAACGATTTCCTTTGGGTGTTGAGGGAGATTCTCTCAGTACTGGTACGTGAATTGGGGATCTGAACAACATGACGCTGCATCTTAGCAATTAGTGCCGCCACCCTCGATGCTGCAGCAAATTTTCCTGCGTGTCTCCAAGGGGAATGGAACGCAGCCCCATTTCTACTTCCAAGGTGGCTATCCGTCCCTGATATGGTAATAGAAAATGGAACCTATTGATCTCATGATGCTTTTTCCGTTCCTCTACGAAGCCCGATGAGTCGGTACGACTTGAACAAACCTATCCCTGGGGAACTCTGGGAATCATGAAGAAAATGTGCTCGCATTACGCTCAAACCAGCAACCTTCTCTAAGGAGGGTCTTTGTAGTAAACTATTGTTTCTGGGTGCTGATCAAAACTTCATGGATGCTGTGCTTTGCCCTGCCTGGGGCTTGTAGCAGCTTCTTGCCACCATCTGCGCAACAGGGAAAGCTCTGAGAGCAGAAGTCAATTTGAATATCTTGGCATGCACTTATCACTAATTGGCATGTGGTGCGGACTGCAGGTGTTGTAATGAGCGTGTTCTCATCAATCAGCATGTGCTGCTGCTCTATCCTTACCTTTTCAGACCTCTCACTGCGCTTCCTACAAGGAGCATCAAAGAAAATATGCATGCTCCACCACCACAAATGCTGGATTGGATTCTCCGTCGGAGTCCGAAACCTGTGTCCTGGTCAATACAGCCTTCCATAAAAGCTGACTTCTGACAAACAGTAAAAGGCCTTGCCCTGCAAAACCCTTGCAGCTCTTGGAAGCCTCGATGCTTGCGGCACTTCTGAGCGCCCTCGTATTTGACCTTGGGAGGAGCAAAGGACCAAAACAAGGGAATGGATTACTACTGTTCCTATTACCAGTATTATTCCTGCTATTATTAGCATTGTTTTTACTATCATTATTGTTACTACTATTCTTCTTACTAGTGGCCATTGCATGTGCTGCGTGTTGACTCTTCTCCAATTCCAGACCGTTCCTTGAAAAAAGTCCGGAAATCCCTCAGGTCGGCCTCAAGCAAGGCCACATTCCCTTCTTCGTATGACGACATACGAGTCGTGCTATGCAGATACCACCAAGTTTTCTCCATAGACATACCTTTTTGCATCCGCGAAGCAGACACCTCGCGCACAGGCGTGACAGCCTTGTGCCTCTCCTGACACGAAAGAGGCAGGCAAATTTGAAATCATTGGCGTGCGTGGTTGTGGTTTCCGTGCGGGAGTATGCATTATGACATTCTGACCTCCGACGTGGCACTTTCACAGAAAAGCAAGGCCCAAAAAATGAACGTGCGAAGTGTGCAATTCAATTGAAGGACTTTCTCTCAAAAGAAAGCCACAAACGGAGCTTGCATTGGTTGCGTAGTTCCCTAACCTGCGGTTCTGCACATGACCTCAGCTCGGGCATCTTCTCTAGCAAGGCTTCCATCAGGGACACCTGCAAATCTCCCAATCACCCTAGATGCTCATGTCAGTATGCATCTCCTCCAACCTAAACGCACGGAGACAAGACTGCATGTGGAACTTCCAAACATGCATGTACTTATACGTACAAAAAATTATGGGGCGAAAAAAACAATAATTTGTGCAAGCTTTTTAAAAATTCGTCCCAGCCCGTTTTCACATGATTATGTAATGGGTGTTCCTACACAAGACAGCCATACTCTCAAAAAACCCGTCGCACTCCTACACGTCCCTGCAGACCTGAAAAGGTATACTTCATAATCCCGCCAAACCTAAACCCAGAAACCTAACGGCTAAACACCTTCCAGAAAACCCTCATACAATCCCCACAAAATCAAAAAACTGTCATCATAAAACTCACACAACTCCACTCGTCCGTTTCTGCCTCCGGCGCTGGCCGCTGCGGCGCCCGGAGGTTTGGCTCGGAGCGGGCGGCGAGGTGGCTGCCCGGGTGGCTGCCACCACCTCTGAGAATTCTGGGTTGCCGTTAAGGAACTTCAGTTTACTTACTCAAAAAAGGAAGCCCTGTTGTTTACTTTATACCTATGTTATGGTAACTTAAGCTTAGTTCCTTAACAGCAACCCCAAAATTTCAGGGGGTGTTCTCGATTTTAGAACTTAGGGTCAAGGATAACATCTTCCGGCTTTGGAGCCTGTAGTTTACAGCTGATGCCTGAAGGTCTTTGTTTATCAAGGCATCATGCTTAGGTTTGCAGGGCTTCAGGGCTTTTGGTTGAGGGTGTAGGGTTTATGGCCTGAAGTTTAGGGGTTTCAGTTCAGAGTTGAAGGTTTGGTGGCCGACCGCTCGAAGGTTTAGGGTGAAGGGATTCAAGCTTTAGGCTAGGGTGTAGGGCAAAGGGCTTGCGTATGGAGATTCTCAATGTTTTGGCTACATGGAATGCAATATAAATCGAATGAATGGATTACATAAGGTAGCGCAAAGATTCTACAAGCGTCGTGTGAGGGTGATGCAGACACTTTCCGCGGTTGTATGAAATACTTCATGATGCTTCAGGGAGTGGGGGGGGTGGATTCCTATACAATCATCCTTTCAGATGTCTGATGCAGTAATAACCCTGATGTTCACTGCAAAACTCAGAATAAAGCATCCTTGAAAACCAGTAAGATCCAGTAAGAACAAAACTATGGTAGAGTGAGCTGAAATGAAAGATAGGAGTATCAACAAGAAATCGAATCCTGTGACCTTTAAAGATCTATTCTGCTTGACTGCTTGTGAAGCACACTTCTCAGTCTACAACACAGCTGCCTACCGTGCTTGTAGTCTTTAACATTACGGTCAACTCAGATGCCAGACTACGGCTGGGACAATGTGAAGGCTTGTCCGAAGCACCCGTCCTTTTTTGAAGCCAACCATGAAGGCTTTGCTTTGGGGCTTTTCGGGCCGACCAAGCGACGTATCTCTCGTAGTGGTAACGGGTAGGTAGGTTATGCTGATCAAAGGCTCGTGGTGTGCCTGGTTCTGCTTGCCGTATAGCTTCCAACGCAGCTGCTGCAGCCACCTGTCATCACGTCAGGATTCTGTAGGGTGGGTCTCCAGAAAAAGCGGTTATGACAGTAAACATGAACATGCTGGAGGAGAGATCCCTACACTCCACTTTGGCCTCACCGAGGTTAATGGCAACACGGCTGCCCTCGCCAGTGACCTCATCAAAATGGTTTGCATCGCAGCATCCTTCCTCTAGCTTGAGACTAAGGCGCTGAGTCTGCTCAGTTTTGAATGGCAATGATTCTGTTAGCTTCGCCCGGGCCAGTCGCATCTTGGACTGGCAGTCCATGTCAAGCAAAGGTTCACCAAGTTTAGGGAACAAAACGGACGACCGGGTCTCTGGCCACTGCAGGAACGCGAGGAAGCGGTAGAAGCGCTCCACAGAGGTGGCAGTACCGGGCATCCTGCAGTTAGATGGAGCACTTATGCTTGAGCACACACGCAAGGCTTCGCAGAAGAACACCTCGTCACATGTTGTTCTTCCAAGAAGCTGACACTTAGGTAGAACAGGTCAGCAAAGAATCTAGGCCGCAGACCAGTGATGTAGGAACTTGGCCACACTTTGTGCACTGGTACTGGGCGAACCACGCCACTACTGACCTGCCAACAGCACAACAAGGCTGGGTGGAACTTCCCTGAAGCATTGTGATCCCAGGCTCCGAGCGCTGACGGCCCTACAGTGGAGGGTGGGGCAGATGGCGCCACCTTTGAAGCCTAAAAAGCGCAAGTCAGAAGGACCAGCACCTGTGATTTACATTAACAATTTACAATCACAGATTCACTGAGACCCGCACCACAACAGGACGGTGTTCATACAGGCTTGGCCTTGGAACTTGCCACGATCTTTATCACTTGTTGCTTGCTGGGTGCAGCTGACTGCCCCAGCAAACTTGGATCTTCGCAGCACGTCCCGCGGCGGCGCAGGGCCAGGCGTCCCTAACTTCTGCCGCAGGGTGACCTCGCAAAGACAGCTGCAGCCGGGAAAGCAACTATTTACATTATTTCACATACTGCTTTTGGGATTAATATAACAATACTATTACTATCATTTTTAGGGTGAGCGTCGGCTTTCCGGCCTCCCAAAGTTCTGCTGCGTTTGCACGCTGACGGCTCGAAAGTGAGGTCCGTCGCCTTTCGGCGCATGAAAAGATCCCCGGAAACAGATGGCGAAAGATGGAAAAAGCTTAGGAATAGAATAGAGCTCATCCAATTCTTTTGAGCAGACTTTCATTTGGAATAAAGATTTTCTATGACTTTCTATATGGTATAAGATTATGAAATCTACCTCGACATCTGAACAAATACCACGACTTAATGTCAAGTGATTAAATATGGAAAGCCCAACTTGCCCTCCCAACAAATGCGACAGCGCCAGCAGTAAGATAAAGGTAGCTAGGGCATGAGAACGCCCAGCTAAGAAAAAACATAAGAGAATCCCTATGTACCCCCCACTTGGCGGATCCTGCAACCTGATATCTACTTCGGGTTGTAAGTAGTGATCATGTCCCACGAGCCTTCCAGCATGATAATACCTGTACTATAGTCCCTCCCCCTGCCAAAAAAAAAGGCGCTTTTCCCGCCCGAAGCCTGAGCGGTTGCACGCTGCTTACCGAAGGCAGCAGCGGCTGAGATGAGCTTGTACCTCAATAAGGCAGACTTCTACAGCAGGGTCTGCATTTATATATTCATAAAAACTATATATATATATATGTAGGGCTTTAATCTAGGGTATATGGAAACATAGAAAATGAAATGGAAACTGGGATTATATAAGGGTTTACAAAGATATCCTTAAAATACTTTTGGGGGATCTGTCGTCCCTTCTAGGGAATCCCTGTAGTAAGGATTGCGGTATATTGGGATCAATACTGCGGCACCCCATTCTTGGAAGCCCCCATAAAGGGAGTGCAAGAAAAATACAGAAGATCCTCCAAACATGTTCACGTGCATCTCAGTCCCCAGGCCCTAAACTAAACCCTACACCCCTAATAATGATAGTAATAATAATGATAATAATAATAATATTAGTGGTAGTAATAAAAAAATAATAGTAATAGTAATAATTAACAATAATCATCACTAATTATTCAGTGCTTGAAGGAATCCAGAACCAAGGCTGGCAGTGCCTCCACCATCGCCGCCCATGGGTCCCCGAGGGTTTCGGGCCCGTGAGATTCTGCGGACACCGACACAAACAACAAGAAACCTGAAAGGGGCAACTACTTTTCATTTGCCCAGCGGCTTCTCCAAAGACATTTTAGTACAACTGCTGTGCGAATTTCAGAATGGATGCACCAGCAGTTCACGCATCTGTGCACAACCAAGCTGGCAGGTACTTTTTGACGACGAGAATCGCGGCGCCAACGCCAGAAAGCATTTGCACAAATCGTTGTCGCTAAACGATGGAGGAGGCAGACCAGAGCCCCGAAGAGAAGTGATGATGTGGCTGTATGGGGCTTGAGGCTTCACAAGCTTGGGACTCCTACCGCGAGCTGACTTGCCAGGGCTGCCTGCAGGATTCTGAAACTCTTTGGCAAATCAAACCGCTCACAACATTAAAGTTTAAAGGCTATCAGCCCAGATCACCGCGGGCAGACCCTCGCAGGCAAATAATTCCTGGCTGCATGCGTGATTCGCAGAGGCAGGAGCCCTGCACTTGCAGAGGGCTGGTACAACTACCACAGCCACCCTGCAGCATGCGGAGCTAATGTACTCCTGCTCAATGGAGTCATCTGGACTCCTGGTAGCTGCATGTCCTGCACATTCCAAGAGGTGATGCTTTCAAGTATGTACCCCAGGTGCCAAACTCCTCTTCTCTTCACAAACAGCACACGATGTGCACAGCAAACTTTACACCAGCCACTGTGGACGGTAGCTATCCCAAATCAATGCTGCCCCTGGGGCAGGCATAAACTGTTATCATTTGCAAGTCAAGCGCTGTAGCTGAAATGTCGACCTGCGACTATCACTTACACAGTAAAAGAAACAGCAAAGCAGCGGCCGTCATCATGACATTTTTCCACCAGCGTCATCGCCAGTGCTAGCGCCAGTACCAGCAACTGGCACCAGTGCTACCACCCCCGCCACGACCACCACTGCCGCCGCCACCACCAGGACCACACCGTTTCTACAACCCTGCCACAACGCCAGAACATCTATGAGCTCCGCAATAGTTATCGTTGATGGTGCAAGCCTGCAGAATGAAAGCAACTTCCAGCCTCATTCCGTGTCAAAGCCACCAAAGGCCCTGGTTGCAATGGATCTCCGTGGCGCCGTCGCCTTGCGAGCCCACTGGCCAAGACGGGGGTGAGCTGCGGACGTAGCCAACTGCAATTCATGAGAACTGCTCTGCTCACTGTGCAGGCTATCATTTCAGCTGAAATAATCGAGAACCCGAAACTCTGCTTGAGGAAAGTGGACCTTCTCCTGCAGCAGCGCCACAAGGTCCGCATTGCCGGCTTCCGAGGCGCAAGCGGCCGGTGAGCGGTTCTGCCCAATAGAAATGCTATCAAGCACTGCTACTGCGTCACTGATAATAGCTGTACAAACCGGGCACCAAGTACCAAAGCACTTGAATTGACACACACTTGATTTTTGCAACTGCGGGTCAAAGGTCTATTGGGTCTGCAGACAAGCACCTTGCTGTCACGGGCATTCGGATTGGCGTTGAGGCTGATCAGGTACAAGGCGAGGTCCTCAGGAGCAAGAGAAGACCTTCTAAGCGGGAGCCCGTTAGTGGATCAGTATTCCTCCCCTATGGTTTTGGAGATTCCTGCGCTCTTTAGCTCCCCTTATTCTATTCATGTAGACTATCCCTAGCTCCTTAGCTCCCCCCAAAAGTATGGGTAGATTATGACCATCAAAACTGGGAGGCGTGTGTCCTTGTGGCCTTTGCTTGCAGCCCAATGCAGCATGGTGTAGTCTTCCTGTGCTGGGAATGCCGCGCTTTGCTTACAAGGCTGTCCACTATGGCATTGCAGGAGAAAAGAGCACGCAAAGGTGGCAGGCGCCACAATCTCTTTGAGTACCTAAGGCTAAGGATGCAGATTAGTCCATGTTAACCCTGGTAGCATTTAATGACCGGCAGCCTTCCACTTCATGGAGTGCCATCCACGCGTTTCAACCTGCCGCAAGACCTGGCCCAGAAGTTGAAGCTCTAAAATGCTGTCTACCAAACGAGGTCTGCCGCGGCTGTTGCTGAACAGTCGTGATCTCCCTCCCTTTTGCACCCTCACACGACTCATCCACGCATCCGCCATGTGCCTCAGCATGTTCAGTGAGACTTCACAACGTTGGGCGGAGGTGCATGCATGGATGATCGCACTCTGGGTCAAGGCATCTGCAGTCAGCCTAACCGAGGACATTTCTGTGAGGCACTGCAGTGCCGAAAGCCACTGGCCAGTAAGCGTTGCTGCAGCAGCATTGAAAGTGATGTCATTCCGTTTGGTCATGCAAGTTGTCATGCAATGGAGCAGAGACATGGAAGCGAGCCACTGCTCTTGGTCACATGCGTACAAGGCAGAGTTGAAGGTGATCGTGTCAGGTCGTAGAAGGTAATTGGGCAGGTGCCCCACCAAGCCTAGGCTAGCTTTCCATTTCTTGCCTTTGCCTAAGGCACTTAAAAGCCCGTTACAGAGCTCCAGGTGCGGCTGTAGTTGCTCTTTCCTTGTGGACAAGAGAAGTTCTGTAGCCCAGTTCCACTGCTCTGCCTTCTCACAGGCACTGACAACTGCTCCGAAGGTAACATTGCTACGTGGGATCCAGGAGCAGTACATTTCAAGCAGCAAGTTTAGGGCGGCCATCCAGTCAGCAGCCTTCTCGCATGCACTTGCAGCAGCGTTGAAGGAAACGGTGTCCGATTGCATTCGCCAACTCATCAGCACTTGCAGGACACCGCACGCTGTTCTCCAAAGCCCTGTCTTCTCGCACGCGGACACAGCTGCATTCAGGCTAATCAAACTGGGCTGTAGCCGAGAAGAACGCATGGCACGGACAAGGCTCAGTGCGACAGTCCAGTGGCCGGAGTCTCGGCAAGCACTGATGACCGAACTTGCCGAGATCGTTGTCTGCTCTCCCTTGGCCAGCGCACAGACAGCCTGGTACCAAGCTGTCTCTTTCTGACAAGCGTTGATCACCACGCCTAAGTGAATCTTGTTCACCTCTTTCCGGAAGCAACGCATGGCATCCAGCATTTCTGCTGCCATGCACCAACGTCCTCTTCGAGCAAGCTGCTCCAAGACTTTGGTTGCATGTCGTGGGTCGGTGCTGAGGCCCCGCACCTCGCGCGGGACCTCCATGAATTGATGGCGGCATGAGTTGCAAAATGCCTTCTGTGGCTGCGGATCAAGATCACGGGTGCTTGAGCACCAAAGGCTACTAAGGTGAAGACCGATGGAGCTGAGTGCAGGCTCCAGCAACGCTCAGCATTAAGTCAGACACAACTGCGTTGGCCCGCCTGCTGGTACGCGGCCGGCAGCGTGTCCACCTGCGGACGCTCCAGCGCTGGCCTGCAATCATTGCATTTCTAAAAAAAATCGCGCTTTCGCTACAAGCTAAAGACAGGCTGCAGGCTGCACAAAGCGAACAACTTGCAGCTGTAGTTTTTGCTCATCTACAGAAATACCGGCAGGTGCCTGAAGGGCTCTTCCGCAGAGCCTCACGAGAATCGCGTCTGGGACTTCTGCGAGAGCAGCTGTAGTTTCTGCCGTAGCTAGAGTTTTATAGCTCAAAGCCCAAACTGTTCAGGGCAAGTTATGTCTTGTCTCTGAGACCTGGCCTCCCACTCGCCGCAGGTGGTAGGCAAGGCCAACACGGCCTCCACGTTCAGCGTAGAAGAGCGGAGTGCGACCTGCACAAAACAGTTTCGATTGAATCATGAAGATCATCAGAACCGAACTTCGTGTACCATGTGAGGCTCAGCGCCTTGGTCATCTCTGGAAGCCAGGAGACCATGACCACCCTCCTGGGCAGGATCACCAAAGGCGAGCTCTGCAGGCCGATCGGACCGCAAGATTGCTAAGAGATGGCTGGGCTTCAGCTCTGGGTGTGCGGCTACAAGCCGGCGGATGAACTCCACGATATCTCGTCGGCCTTGTTGCGCCGCCCAGTGCATGGGCGAGAAGCCATGCTCAAACCTGAGCCCATGCGCGAGGCAGCAACCAGACTGTGCATCTTAGCCAATAACGTCTCGGCTTGTCCTCGGCCGAGTTCACTGAGATTTCAGCCGTTCGGGCAAGCCATCCTCGGGCATGGTTTGGAGGACCTGCCGTCGTCCGTGGCAGCCAATCTTGCCATCTTGAAAGGTAGCTTCTCGTTCTTCCCAAAAGGTCTTGGCACCTGGATAAGCTGATCAGGGACTGATGCCAACGCTGACGTAGGCTTCAGGATCTCGAGCTCCTGCAGCAAGGCAGACATTCAACTCGCTCTTCCAACTGCCACTGGGAGTCTCCTCTTCGCACCGCTTCATGTCGCGCTGCAGATAATCTCTGATCTGAGCCGCGAGTCCGCAGAACAACATGCATTGTGTAAATCACACACATCGTCGCAACCTTGCCTGCTGCTGCTCGGACTCAGACAAGCTGTGCTCCAAGGCAACCTCACTTCATGAGGCTTTGTAAAGATCATCGCCTTACCCGTGCTCATGCCAGTGAAGGTACGCCGTGCACAACCGTGGGCATCCCTTCTTTGTTGGGCCCATTATATAGACATTAGGTCGCTGTTACCTCAGGCTTACGGAATGCAACGTTCATTATGAAGAATTGTTAGTGCAGCCCTGGCCTCTTCTTGAAGAGCCTTCAAGTCATGCAGCCGCGCATCCAGGCTGAGATGTTCGGAGTGACGCCTCTCTGCATCTGTCTTTCTGCCACTCGTACGCAACAGTGTAGGACAGTTCTGTGGCCCTGACTCCGATTCAACCTCGGTCTTCCGCTCGTAGTCGGTGAGCCCGCGTCGGAGGGGCATTCCCTTCAGAGGTTTTCAACTCGCTTGGCTGTGTGATATGCATATAGCGACGAGTATGCACAGTGTACAGCAATATGCACAAAGTACATATGCATTGCTCGCGCTATTAAAAGCACCACACATGGAGCTCCTTGTTCTCAGCGGCCGTCACACCCTCGAGCTGAGCTTCGATCGACTTGATATGGACCTGCTACTAAAACCAAGGCTCAGTTTCATATATATATATATGTATATATATATATCTGTATATATGTATAATCGTATACCGATTATTTGTAGCTATGTACGTTACATGTATACATGTACATTACATATTATATTTTGCGACCAAATACTGGCCCTTGATAGAAACTTGCTTGGACTCTTGGCTCTGACCTCAGTGGCATTCTGAAGATTCTCATCCAACTCCTTGTGCGCTTTACGGACCTCATGCAGGAGGCAGATCGGAGCCACTCATATTTTTGTTTGCAGCATGTTGGCTGCATTCAGAGCACTGTATGTAATAGTTTAAAAGAGCAACTCACTGGACATATCCCACTGGCCTGTAAGACGATTTCAGCGTTCGAAGAGGGCAGCAATTGGGCTTCTTCCTGCCGAGGATGCATCTGGCGTAGCTTGGCATCCAGTTCCGCAACATGAGACTTTGGGGACAGCAATCCTGGTCAGGCTCATTGGCTAAACCGATCAAATGCCGTGACCGCAACCGGACTAGCCTGGTATATAACATACGTAATATTATACTATTATGATACATTATAGTATTATTATGACAGACCTGCTGCTCAGGTTGATTTATGAACGAATCAAGCCAGCGATTGTCACCAAGCCCGGACCTCCAGACCAGCCAAGAAATTCATCGGCCTCAAACTGGCCAAATGGAGTTTCAGAGGATTTGGCATTTCCTCACAAAGGGGATTAAAGCCCCACTCCTCGTCGGGTGACCCACGGAAAGGTAGTTAGGATTGTAAGGAGGGCTACACGTCTGAATAGATAAACTTGATTCACCACCTGCTCTGTGTCAGGGACATAAAAGAGCTGCATGACCCCTTCTAGCACGAGTAGTTAGATCCATACCACATGAAAATTGTGATTAGAGGCGACGTGGAGGACAGTTGACAGCAAATGCAAAGCTCAGGTCTTCCTGAGAAGCAGGCTCTGCCCAGAGGGACATGCGATGTGCCCTCAGTATTTGAAAGATTTTGAGAGCGTCTGGCCGCACTCAGTGCAACAGAACTACAGCGTCACTAAAGCTCTGCTGGGGATGGAACGTCATCCGCCGCCTCATTTCGGCATCACTGTTTGTGCGCGCCCTCGAGGCCGCCGCCTGCTTCAAAGCCTCTCAGCCACCGTAACAAGTTCAAGCAGCAAGTGGCACAGCGCCGAACCGACCCATACAAGAGCACCTCGTTTTCTTTCTGGAGGTCGTCGTACTTCTGCTGCCTGGGCTCATTCAGAAATGGGTATGCGTGTTTGAATGCCAGGCATACAACTGCCTGTTGCAAAGCAACATATGCTAGGCAAACGATATCATCCCTTTGCAAGGCCCGCGACCAATCTCGAGATATGTTCTGCAAGCTGTCCTGCTGAGACACTTCACACTGCACAAATCACTCCGCACCTGTAAAGCTCTTGCTGGCCTGGGCATCCTTCTGAAACTGCTCTCCGCTGAGACGGACCTGCGGGAACATTACTCTCTCCAACGACTCTCTCAGATTCATTCTGCAATTCTGCAAGTGGGCTGAATCCAGTGGCAGAGCACAAGCCTGTCTAGACCACATGCTACCGACATACAAGCGCTAGCTTCCAGCTTGGCTTGCTGGCTGGGATATCTGGGATTTGCCCGGTGCCTGCTGCAGTTCGCGCCGCAGCTCTTCTGCATCCTGCGGAGAGAATGGAGATTCCCTCGACCAGTTCAGAGCCGCGCACAGGCCGCGTCTGGGGTTGAGATTTACTCACTTGGCAAGCAACTGACGCTTTGCCGACACTCGGCAACGATTCAATCTGGTTTCCGTTCTCGACTTCCTTCTTGTGTGGGTTCTTGGGACTGTCTCTAGCAGGAACCCCGAGAAATACCCAACCGGCATGTCCGAAGAACAAATATTCAATGCCCTGCACAAACTGAAGTGGATGTCCTTCTTCTCGTCTGCCAGCTGCGATAGGAGCCTTTGCAAATCCAGCGCCAACATGCATCAACAATGAAGCCCCAAACGAAACCTACCTCCCACCAATCAGGACATCCGAAGCTGTCGGGTCGCTAGGTGCTGTACACAGTAGCTGAGGCGCCAAATCTACTACACTCCCAAACTGGATACACTTCCCCAAACCCTGAATCTGAGTCCCTTCTACTTTTCCAAAAACTGCAAGTTGTTAATTGAGTCCTTATGTCTTGGTTTGTCTGAGGCTCATGAGTTCCGTGGCTTTGAGAGCTTGTCTGCAAGTATGAGTACGCCTCTTGACAGACAGTCCCGGACTTCAATCCCGCTGGACCTACAACCACAACCAGCACCAACACCTTAGCAAAGCCCGTAATCACTCCTCAGCATCTGGCGATGACAACTTTTCTTCTTGTACTCGACGCTTGTCATCAACCTGCCGAGCCTGCAGCTGCAGTGTCAGCTAATAGAAAGCCACTTTCGGATTCTAAGTCTCGTGGGAACTTTCAGCGCAACCCTAACAACTGCACTGAAACCTGGTGTTCTCGCTCTTCCAGCTGCTTCTGCAACAGCTTTACCTCTGCTTTCCTGGCATCGCTGCAACCCAAGTGAAGCATGCTGCTGTCTGCCATCGCCTACTGCTTCATCTTTCAGACTTAGGTTTACCAACGTCAGAGGACTTGAGTGGCTGACGCACGCTCTGGGTGGCAATACCATTCGGTGGAAAATGAAAACACAAGGAGCTGGGTTACCAATGATCGAATGTAGTCTTCATGGGCAGTCGGAGTGGTCCATCATCAAAGCAGACATGTCCAAGAGGCTGCTCGTCCAAGGCTTCTCGAAGGTCATCTTCAGCCTTGCTCTTTTCTTCCTTCAACTTCCTCTGCGTGAGGCCGCGCAGAAGCGAAAACCCATGGCAGGCAAATTCTGACCAAGTGCAGACTGGCAACTTAAGAGTGTTTACATCGCTCGCCAAGGTATCTCGCTCCGCTTGGAGGGTACGGAGCCTGCAATCAAGGTACATCTTGCACAGCCAGCAGCTTGTGGACAGACAATCGCACAAGAGTCTACCCGTCAGCGATTTGTGCCTGCTGTTTGCCTCTTCAAGCGAGGCACGATCGCCTGCACTTCGAGCCTGCCCACGTTGCACCCCTCGCCAGCTCAACTTGACACATCTTAACGCCTGTCTTGCAGTATGATGGCAGCTTTCCCACCTGGAGGCCATCCAGCTGTATCTTGATGGACTCCTGTCAGCATGACTGGCAGGCTAAGCTGTTGCCCAAGCAATCTCTGAGCATCGGACAGCATCTCGCAAGGCTGTCTGATGGTCACCTCTGAAAGTGCCACAACCCATCCCGCAAGACTCAAAACAATTCCTTCGTGTCCAGCTCTGAGCATGTGGCTGTTTACGCGTTCCCTGCCCCTCCGCTCATCGTCCTTCTCCTCAGCAGATGCAAGGGTTGGATGCAGCATCCTCACATCCTCAACAGAGCCGCTCCTGCTGAAGCCTGCGATGCTCTGCTCGGAGCTTCTCCAGCTCCTGAAGCAGGTCCTGTTCATGGACACGAGAAAAGCAGTCAAGCTTTTAAGACAAATTGATCATACCCCTTAATTAAGACATGTACTTTCCAACAGTGAAGAATCGAATGGGGAACCAAATGTGAGATGGCAGTTGGGTTTGCGCAGGTGTTACTGACCATGTAGCCGACCTGGTGCCGAGCTTCCCATTCGGCCTTCAGCTGAAGACCCGATTCCTCAACAAACAGCGGAAGAAGGCCCTGCAAAGTAGACTGGCTAGCCTAGTGGGTCCCAAAAAGTCCACCTTGGTCTGCTTCAACTCTGCTTCATGGGCAGTCTTCATCTTCACGTAGGCCTGGTGCCACTTGCGCGCATCTGTGGACATTGCCAAACACGGCAATTTCTAAAAAACAGGCGGCCCTGATATACACCCCCACACAACGTAATCCTCCTTGTTATAAGTACCCCAAAATGTTCGAAAGACCCACATTATCTGAGAAGGTTGGCCTCTTCATGGTCACGAACAGAGCTGCCCTGGAGAGCTGCAAGCCTCTGGATCCATGGAATTACTCACTTGCTGGGGGTTAGGAGGAGACAAGGGAATTCGTTATGAGGTTTAGGATTCCGGGTTAATAGGAAAAAATGTCATATAGGGAATACATAGGGATTATACTCCCTTATTCCCTTACCACCAGTAAGCTCATGACTGCATGGAGCCATCAAGTCTCACCCTCACAAAATGTCTTTGTGCTGCCGCGCCTGTCTCTATCCTGTTGTAGTTTTTGATGTTGTGCCTGCAGTCACAGACATGAACTACAGTCTAAACTCCTAGTATACCCCTTAATAAACCCTGTAATACTCCCCCATATAATCATGTATAACCGCCTTGGAGGAGTTTAGACTACAGCTCACATGGTCTTCATCCCGACCTCCAGCAAGCTGCGAAAGTTCTGCATTCCCGTGCCTGCAGCTCTTCTTTCTCGCGGAGAACCACCTCAACAAAAACGGTTCAAGTGAAGCACCGCCACCAGCCATCTTCAACAGAAGAAGATTGGTCCAGGAACAACTGGAGACCCCAAGCACTAAACCTGAAACTCAAGACCCTAAACCCAACACCCAAAACCCTAAACAACCTCAAATCCAAAACCCTCAACCGAAAACCCTAGACCCTAAAGCCTAAACCCACAACCCTAAACCCTAAAACCCAAAACAACCCTAAACCATAAACCGCGAAACCACAATTTCGGGCTGCCTGATGCTTGGCGTCCAGATCTGCTCTGGCTCGGGACTCGGCCTCCTGTCAGAAGCTGCTGCTCCAGCCCCAAAACTGACTATACGGGTCATATAGGGGTTTAAAGGTTAGATAGCAGTTACATAAAGGCTATTTAGGCGTTATACAGGCGTTATAGAAGGGTTTCGTAGAAGTTATAGAGGGGTTATGCATTAAGGGGTTTATATAAAGGTTATATAGCGGATATATGGGTAGTTTTTAGTTGTTTCAGTGGGGTTTCGGAGGGGTTGTATAGCAGTTATATAGGGATTATGCATATAGCAGTTATATAGGGAATATGTAGGGGTTATGTAAGGATTCTATCGGGGTATACGGTTATATACGGGTTATGTAGGGGTTACAAAGGGGTTATATAGGATGGATATATATATATATATTTATTTATTTATTTATGCATTATGCATACAGAGTGTACATAGGGTTTCACGGCCCAATAATGGAGAATCAAACGGAAAATCACATGGAACATGAAATGGAATCTAGGTTTATGTGGGGTTGTGTGGTGGATTCCCTAAATTGGAGAACCCCAATATGAATCCAATGTGCGATAACCCTTATCATGGAAACTCCCGAAATGGTACCCCTAATTTTGGGAAACCCCCATGTCATCCCCAAATACTGAAATCAATACCATGTTCATGTGTCTTCCTTTGTCGGCCGAAGCCGGAGACAAGGGTTGGGTTCATTTGCGAGGCTTCCTCCGCAGCCTGCTGCTTACCGGGATGCAGCCTCCCCGGTTTTGGAACTTGTTCCACCATGGCGACCAACTTCGTTCTGGCTGCACTGCCTCCTTGTCCCTGTTCACCTCCCCTGCCCCAACCAGCCCGCTTGCTCATATTGGCCCTCGCAACAGATTGCTGTCGCTGCTACCTGCACCTGCTTGTGCTTTAAGCCTTCTTCAAGCTGCTCCGGCAGTCTCTTGTTGCCAACAGTAAACTAAATCATCTAAGGCCCTAAGCATGTAACCCACCCACCCACCTCCTAGCAATACACATATCCAATGTTAACATGATGCGGCGAATATCTTTTGTTAGGAAGGGTCAGGGGATCTTAGGCGGGGGAATCCTTCTACAATCACTATACTTCTGATGTGGACCCTAAACGTTTTGAGTTTCCAAGTCATGTTCCATTAGGTGCTCCCTTCTTTCTCCAGTTGCTGGAAGATTTTAATATAACCACGGGGAATATCGCCGGGCATCTGTCCTTGTCAAGTCGCAACTTTGCCTGGTCCGCATTCACAAGGTCCAGCTGCTTCAGTGCTGCCTGGGAAGATACCCGACCCTACGTAGTCTAGGTGGGAGTTTCCAGAAATCAGGCTTCCTTTTTGAGAGTCTATGTGATGAGGAATTTCATGACAGTTCGGGAGAGTTGGCTTTAAGGCAACTCCCCTCTTTGAACATACCCATGCAGGTGTCTGAAATGAGAAACTCAGACAGACCAGCCTCGTGCTTGCGCGCAATTTCCTCTTTGGCTAAAGTCTCAGAATCCTGCAACGCACCAAACTTCGACGCCATCTGAGGCCAGGAGTCTGCAAGAGGATACTTCCAGAATGCTGGAGGCCTTGTCTCGCTGGAGCGCACGCATGTCGGAGGAAATCTGCTCCCGATCTTGCAGAACTTCCAAGTGCTTCTTCTCAGCCTGCCGATCTTGAGCTTTGCCGGCCTACTCATTAACTACACCACCATTGCTAGACATAACCAGCACAAATAACGGCCTCTTCTTTTGCTTTCCTCTCCGCTGCTGTGTCTGCCTTCTGCGGGTTGAAGTAGTTGCTAGGATGGTGAAAGCTTGGACTGCAGGATTTAGTACTTTGCGTTGGCAACAGAAATAGCTGTTCAGCAGCTGAAACTGGAGTGCCTGTAGCTTCTGCTTATCAGCGGTCAACTTCTCCAGATCTTGAAGAACTGCCGCATGTCGTCTTTCAGCCTGCATGAGACATGGTGTCATTATCTCCGAATGTGCAACTGAATTGCCATCCAGCACGCCGCATTGACATATTGCTCGTGACTTGCCGATTGCGAGAATGAACAATGCTGCTGCAGCTTTGAAATGGGGACTGAGCACCTACGTTGTGATACAAACACCGGCTTGACAGTTAAGATTGCGCACGTCAATACCATTTCCCAAGATGCAGTTAAGATCAATTTTGGCCACTACTGTTACAGCTACTGCAGCCTTCTGAAAGTACTTCTGCTGCTGCCACTGCTATCACCGCTGCATTCGCTCCTTTGCCCGTTTCCCCCCCATCCAGGTCACTTTGACTGAAAGAACGCCTCGTTTTGTATCATCATGCTGGCACATCTCAGACAAGTGCTTTCCACTCAGCAGAGGTACCACAGTCTCTGCCGAAAGAATAACTAATTGGTTTTTGTATGTGTTTACTAGTATGGTGCATTGGAAGAGTAGACTCAACAAATTCATTAGATTAGGAGGGTAAGGCTTCGATCAAGGCCTCAATCATCAAGTTCATGCCATCAATGTGACCAGCAGTCCAACAGAGTAAATTCGGAATTCAAGCGGCCCAAAGGATATGCAGGGATTACAGAGGCGAGGACTGCTCAAGGGTTGTTCCGGAGGCAGCCCGTTTCTGGGTATGTCGTTTATTTTGTAAGAGCTACGATGTAACACATGATGTGCGAAATGAATTGCACATGTCATATGCATTTTCTTATGTGATGAGAGCTTGCACAAATCAGGGTCCCAGCTTTCTCCCCCCAATATACTATAATCCATATTGCCGGAAAACCCAAAAGGACCCCTGCGTGGTGGCAGCCCTGATGATTTAATACCTAGATACTTCTATGTTGCCCAGTTTCCATCATCTCGATTTCATTGTCCATGTTCTTTCCAAATGATTTTCCAACATTTGGGGCAGTATGCGCAACACCAGCTCATGATTCCATACTCTTGTCCGTTTGATTTGCCAAGATTTGAGATGATATCCCTAAGCCCCGTTTCAATTTCCATGTTCTTTCCCACTTGGGTCTCCATATTTTGTGGCAATGCCCCTCAATATCCCCATGTATCCCTAAACCTAGCATACGTATGTTATGTATCCCTAAACCTAGCATACGTATGTTAAATCACCCTTGCGTAGTCTCCCCAACTGGACACCCATTAAGGAAACCTATATACACTCACCATAAACCATAACAAAAACCCGACAACATACTAGCCATTGTCTAAACTCCTGGTGCAATACTCCCCTATATAATCCCCCATATAACTCACGTTAAGGAGTTTAGATGGTACCTCAGATCACATCCCCCAAATTTGAGCCTCAGCTTTCGCCTGGCTTTCCGCATCTTTGTCGGCTGCCAGGCGCTGCTGGTCATCGCCTTACCCCAGATGGGTTGTAAAGGGTTTAGGGTTAAGGGTTCAAGGGTTTTAGACATAGAGTTGGGCTGTAGGGCTTAGGGTTTGCACCAGGACTTGCCGGTGATTGATTACCGGAGAGGGAAACAGAAAATGGAAACTACCAGTTTATTTAGAACTTGCTGGTGCAATACTTGTGCAGGTTCTTACCTTTGGTTAGCTAGGAATGAAGAAATGGATCCTTATAGAGGTCCCCAAATAACCCTTTACAGTAGTTTCCATGTTCATTTCCATTCCTTCTAAACCCTCACCCTGAACCTATACAATAATCCATTATAATGGTGTCCACTTTCTTTTCTGCTCCTTGTTTCAAAGCTAGCCAAAGGCAAGGGTTTCGGCTTCAGATTCTCGGGATGGGATCTGGTCACCATTCCTAGTAAATGCGGTTCCGACTAACTAGAGGGAAGGATGCATCTGTAGAAAGTCTACGCGGAAATATCATCGTGCAACTTAACCCATCTTTGCTGGGTTGCGCGCCTTGGCTACTCAGGCTTCGGTGGAACCCTCTACCAAGGTCATTCTGGGTACGAAAACAGAGGTGAATGCAGGTTCCTAGACAATCCTAGAGAGTATGTGCAACAGTAACTCATTCCCAGAGCGTCCAGAGGATCTTAGGGCCCTTTAGTACCTCCTAAACCTCGTAGTTTCCATTTTCTTTTCCACTATTCCCATATACCCCCAATAATATAGCCCTAAACCCTATACCCTATAAACTTCCCACGGCTTCTGGCCTCGCAGTCACTTCCTGGAATTGGGCATTTCAAGTTGTGCAGGAGATGGTAGATTGCTTTCCAGAGCAGGAATGCTGCAGTGGAACTTGCGGTGACGGCGCTTTAACTCACCACCCCTTTTATAAGAAAGGCTGCAGGGGCACAGACTTGTGTGAATGTTGTCATTGCTTGGCATTCCCTCTGCAATATCTTCCTGTTCTTTTCAAGCAAACCTACTTACCCGGGTGCCCTTCGGATGGTTATGGAGGAATAACGTTGGCAAGATGCAGGCACCACATGCAACCGTACAGGGAACTCTCTAGGATGAGGAACGGTGGCGGGGGCTTTCTGTCAGGACACACGGCGTGGACGTCTGCGCGGTAGAAGTCTGGCAGCTTTGTTCTGTGAGAAACTGTTGAAGGTCTTTTTGGTACTCATGTTGGTCACACCGGAAAATCATCTAACTTACTTCTCCCGTGAACTCCTGGCTCGCCACTTCAGAGACATGTCCACCTTGCTTCTCTGGTGAATCATTCCGCAACATAAACCAATTTGCCTCCAGGACCTGCTTCCCTGAACTGTGGGGCCATGGCGGAGCTTCTGCATGTCGCGCATGAGCTCTTCATGCTTCCGCTCCGCCTCGAAGGCTTCAACTCTGTAAGATCCATCTTTCAGTCGGAAAGTGTTCTACTTCTGGAAGTTAAGGTTTAGGATATGAATACCGGCGCATCCGACGCGCTGAGAGGACTTCTTCTAGTTGCACAATGCTCTGGCTTGCGGACAGCAAGCTGTCCCGGTCAAGCTAATATCACCGTCAACGCAGAGTCAATGGACACATTTCCAGCCAGACCATCATAATTATGATGCTGATCTTTGTGCAGTACCTGACTTGCATCAGGACTTGGATCAACATGGATCAGTACAACCCCCTCTATTTACCCTACTACATTATAGTAGTTTCCATGTTCTTTCCCATTATCCCCTATAGAACCCCCCTATGATCCCCCCCCTTGTGACAAGGCCCAGCCCAGCAACTGCCTCCGCACGAAGCTGAGACTCCCGAGCCTGGCCGGAGCTCGTTCATCCGGGGTGCAGGGGTACGGTTTTGGGGTCCAGGGTTTAGGGGCTTTAGGGGGTTTAGGGGGGTTGAGGGGTGTAGGGGGTTTACGGGGTGGGGGGGGTAGACGCGGTTTAGGGGTTTCACGCGGTTTTGGGTTTTCGCGCTTTAGGTTGTAGGGATAAAGGAGTTGGGAGCGAAAATCAAAGTCAATGCCACCTTCATCGTGCTCAGCCGCAAGTTGAAAACAAGGGTGATCCCTTGTCCACACGTTGGGATTTTTCTCAGCGGCTGCTCCTTAAGCCTCAGGCCTTCGCGCACACTGGTTCCAACATATGTAGGCTGAAGTTTATGACTCGGGGAATCAGGAGCGCACTGAGCTCCCAGTATGGACCGACAAACACCGTCCTACAACCTAACTACAGCCTGTCAAAATCAAAGAGTTCCTCTTCTCAACACTAAGGCACCTTGCGAGTGTAGGGAAGCCCGCAGAACCCTAGAATGTCTGGAACCCTGAGTCCACGACACTTCTTTTGTCCTACCAGGTGGCTGCTATGCAGCAAGCCGTTCATGCCGGGCATGTCACTTTGATATCAGCTCCACAACCCTTAACCTAAAATTCGCCTCAATCCCTCAAAGCCCTGAAACCCCCAAAACACCTCAGCCCACAAAATTGCCACCCACTCCTCAAGGCCCCCCGTCTCTCATAACCTCGGAGCCCGAGCCTTGTCTTCCTGAAGCCTGGCCTGATCTTGGGCCATCTTCCTGGCAAGGGAGAAAGCAGGAAGAAAGTGATGCCAGCAGTCGCTTGAATTTTTGGAGAGAGTTGGTGTTGGGTCTGAGCATTTCTCAGGGCATGGTTTCTGTCTAGGTCGAGGTAGGCAGTATTCCACAGAATGTCGGGCCAGAAATTGTTTTCTACGCCCCATGGACTCTGACGTCAGCCGCTACGACTTGGGATTTAAAACACCGGTGTTCTGTGACGACAACAGCACCCCCTACCCCCCCTGGATCTTTCAGCCCTCAATCTGAACGACGACAAAGACAGAACTGCAGCAAACAACAATGCCGAAGTTCACGATGTGCTGTTTAGGCTTCTGGGATGAAGGGAGCAGCGCGTGCGGATAGGGGTACACCCAGAGCATCACTAGAGTTACTTGCGAAGGGGGTCACGAAAGCTGGAGGACACGAAGTGGGGGCGAATAAATTACAGATGCAGCAAGTCGCAAAAACTCTTTCAGAACCTGAGGGTCGTCCAGGGTCGTGGATGAGTTGCAATCTACTGCAGCAAGGGCAAAGGAGGCAACAAACAGTGGCAATGGAACAATCAGCAACAATGGACTACACCACACCTGAGCTTGGTGCTTGACACTGGCAGAAACAATCCTGAAAGGCTTGAAGTCAGAGGATGACTGACACTCATCTCAGCATTAGAGATGGACACTTGGGTGGGATGAGGTAGGTGCCTGGGGCGAAAGGGTCCTCCGCCACTACCTATGAATTAACTATCTGAAGGAGGGCCGACAAAACTAATGTTTATGAGGAGCCTCCCTGGCGCACCACCTTACATTTCAAGTCCGAGTCAGCTTCTGACCTACCAGTTTTCCAAATGGGGTACCCCGAGGATGGCTAGAGCTGGAAGTGGATTCGAAAAAGCTGCCTGAGGATGGGTTAGGGAGTCATTTGATAAAATGCCATGTTGCGCTTAAGTTTAAGAATGACGATAACGAGCGAGTCATCAAAATCTAGGCATGCAAAGCTGGCACATCTGAAACAGGGCTCCAACGAAAGCATGGCAGGCTCACTGCTTGTCGCCTTCCACCTGAGCTCCATGCATTGGACAAACAGCGCTCTTTGGGGCGGATGCGCACTTTCAGGCAGGCGCATGCACATGCAGCTGGCAGCTTTCCTAAACCGACTCAAAATCCTGTAGCCAAGAAGGCCGAGTTTACAACATCCCCCGAGGAATGTCACTCCAAGAAGCCGGCCGCAGCATGGCGCTGGCGCATCTCCTCCGTAGCTCTCTTCTCAGCCTCCAGGAGCTCCTTTAAAGAGATCAACTTAGAAAACTTCAGCATGAAGCTATGCACTCCGATGGCCAGGGCAGTCCGTGGACGCGAGTGATTTATCGAACTTGGGCATGGTTTTCTTGGGAGGTTGTTCGCAACCGTAGAAGTTACGAATCTATATAAAAGAAAGATACATATATGTACATTACCAATCTATCACAGACAGGTTGAGGACACGCCGACACGTCTTCGGAAAAAGGCAAGACTTGTTGACAAACTCATTTTCGAGGTTTACAGCTGCCGTTCTGCACTGGACACTTGCATGCAAAGACACTCCCAGACTTTCTGGTGCTTAAGGGAGAGCGGGGAGTGCATTCCTATAATCCGTATATAGCCCCATACATATATATATATCTATATATATTCTCTCTCTCTCTCTCTTTCTCTCTCTCTCCCTATCATAATACCTACAATTCCGAGACAATCCACATATCTACGCCTATAATGGCACCGATGATCCCTATATAATCCCCGTGGATACCCCTATAATAATACCTAGATTCACTCCCCCAACTCCCCGCAAAACCTAATCCCAATACATCCCAATACCCTTAACCCTAAGTCCTAAATCCTAACCCCTAACCTTAAACCCAACACCCTACGTCCTAAACCCTAAACCCTAAACCCTCATAATGGCACGGGTCCTGGAGATGGCCGTGTCCTGACGTCTTCTCCTTCAGGACCTCCTGAGATTTCCCCCAAAAAAACTGTCGGGATTATATGGTGGTTATAGATTATAGGGATTACATAGGGATTATGTAGGGATTATTTGGGGATTATATAGGGATTAAATAAGGATTATATAGGGGTTATATAGCGATTCTATGGGGATTATATGGGGATTATATTGTATGGGGGTTATACACATAGGGGCTCTATAGGGGTTCTATAGGACTCTGTAGGGAGGCTACAGGGGTTCTATAAAGATTATATAGGGGTTATCGATTACAGGGATTATATAGGGATTATATAGGGATTGTATGGGGATTATATCGCGATTATATAGGGATTATATGGGGATTATATAGGGATTATATAGGGATTATGTTGGGATTATGTAGGGAGTATATGAGGGTTATACACATAGGGGCTCTATCTATATAGGGAGGCTACAGGGGTTCTATAGGGATTATATAGGGGTTATACATAGAGGGATTTTATAGGTATTAGGGCCAAATAATGGAGAATCAAATGCATCAAAAAAATGGAAAATGAAATGGAAACTAAGGGTTTGGGGTTTAGGATCTAGGGTTCAGGCCACCAACTTCAAACTGCAAAAGGCAAGTTTGCTTTTCTGGCCTCGTGGAGCCGTTGCACCTGCGCAAAGTCAGGGCCAGAACGGCAAGCCTATTAGCAATAGCAGGGTTTAGGGTTTAAGGTGTAGTAAGATATGAGAGGGGATGCTGTGGACACTTGTCTGTTTAACAACTTCTAGCCCCTTGTACAATAAGTTTACCCAACACACACATCTAAGCCTCTTCCATCTGCGCGAAAAGCCAACAGGTGTCCAATTAGGAACCCCAAAACTAGAAAACCATGGGTCACATGAGCTGCACCTACCAGTTATAGCTTCTTGGGACAAATTCTGCTCAGCCATCCATCCCAAACAAGGAATCTAGGCTACATCCGGAAGTAATCATCTAGCGCTATTTACAGCACTTTTGAGACTTGACCCGAACAAGAACCTGAAAATGCATCTGCGTGGTGACTGGGGACCATCTCAATAATTTTCGTAATGGATCACAGACCTGGAATTAGTCCAGAACTTTTCGTTGATCCCACAATCCAAGTACTGAAACTATTGAAAAACTCCAGTAATTTCATGCATGCCGGAGCTGAATCAAAGAAAAGCCTTGGGCCAATCTTTAACCTTTAACATGAAAAGTTGTTCCACGACTCTGCTTTGATCCAGCCTCCGCATTTCTGAGATTATGGAAAAAGTTCAGCCATCTCAGTCCGGATCAAAGATTAGAGATTACTCCAGAACTCTTCTCGGATCCACACGTCTCATTGCTGAGATTACTGAAATTGTCTCAGTAACCTCAGTGATCAGACCTGTGGATCAGAGAGAAGTCCTGGAGGAATCTCTGATCTCTGATTCGGGCCTTACATCACTGCTTTCAGTAATCTCAGTGATAGGGAGGCAGGACTTCTCTGAACCAGCCCAATATTGAGATTACCGGAAAATTTCAGTAATCTCAGTCATCTCAATTCTGGAAACAAGCCCCATCTTCAAGATATGAGACACACCAACAAAAGGAAAGGAATGCTGCGGTTAGAGCCTGATAACAATGAGTGCAAGCACTGTAATGCACAAGAGAGGAACGTTCCAGATCCGTGACAAGCACCTCCAGCTTGGCTCGTTCTTCGGCATCTTTGTCTGCTTTGAGCCTGCACATGGCCATGCAAAGACCATCCGCAGAACAGAGGGATGGATGGATGGATGGATGGATGCCTGGAGTGATCTTCCTGGAGCTTCTGCATGTCGTTGACGACTGAGGCATGCTTCGACTCAGCCTCTGCGCCTTGAAGGCTTGTTCGGCACTCGCAGGACTTCATGCAGCCCAGCGGTCAGTAAGTATCACATGGAGCAGAGATCTAGGTTCAGTTGAGAATGAGGCTCAGCCAAAATCAACTGGGCGCCGGTGCGCAGACGAGCTTCCGCCTCCTTTTCTTGACTCACCCGCTGATGGTCGGCACCTTGGCCAAGCTGGTGGCAAGAGCCGCGTAGTTCAGCCGTTTAGCTTGCGTTGAGGCCCAAACGCACCTGCTCCATGTCCTTTAACACGGATTGGTGTTGGCGTTCTGCCTGCTCAGAAAGCACTTACCGTCGAACTCATGCAAAAACACATGCACAACATTCGTGCTCATCGTGCGCAGGCTGCACACCCATAATACTGGTACTCATAGCAACAAGAGTACAAGTGAGAATAATATTCAGTGAGTACTATAGTTACTCTACTCAATTAAAGATGCACGGTGCATCGATGCTCACGCCTCTTGCCGAGCGGCTTGCTCAGCAACCTTGTCCTGGCAACTCCCAAAACCAAGGCTGGGTTGCTGTGAAGGAACTGAGATCAAGTTACTTTCAAAGCTAGGAGACACTATTGCTTACTGTTGTGTATTATCCCTATTGTACGTAAACATTCAGTTAAAGAAAAGAGATTGATACAGGAAATAATGGGGTTCCCTTATGAGGGTGACTTGATTTAAGTTCTTTAACCGCAACCCATGCCACCGAACGTGCACATCACTCATTCAATCGCGAGCACAACTCCGCCGGCGGAACTGCTTGCAGCTTCTCCTGGTCTGCCTTGAGACGTTCTGCGTCCTCCGGTGCATGCGGGTAACACACCCTGAATGCAAATATATATATATGTATACATGAATATCCATACAACCCCCATAACCCATCTAGAGGTACCCCCAAGTTTGGGAACTTCTCTGTCAGCTTATCCTCAGCCTACTTTCTGCTGGGCAGGTGGGCTAGAGAGGCCTCCAGTGCAGCTGCATGTTTCTGCTCTGCCATCAGTCTCGCTTGTTTCTCAGCTGCTTGGTCCTGGACATCATGAGCATCGAATGCCGCGAAAGGAGTCATGTGAAACTTTTCAATGCAGTCCTTCTCCAACTCCAGCTTGTCTCCTTTCAACTTCTCCATGTCTGCCAGAACTTCCTGGTGCTTCGCAGAAACCGCCTCCTGCCATGTCAGCCAATTGAGTCTGAACTAGCGTCACTAGCAACACTAGCGTACAGAGTGTGTGATTTTCCCTGTGAGCCTTGGCTCGCTCTTCTGCGGCGTGGGCAGCCTGCTTGGATCTAACGATCTAACGTACCCTCCGCACCCTCCGCAGCTCAGACCAGACTGGGGATTGCATGTCTTGTGCCTGCAGCCGCTGCTGGTCATCACGCAACTTCGCTGCATCTTCCACAGCCTGGCAGCAGAGAGCCTTCAACTACTCCAGGCTCCAAGCAAGCAGTCTGCAGCAACAGATGCTTTTTGCAGGCGATGCGATACCTGGTGCTGCGCCCAGCCTAACGTCGGCTCGAAGCATCATCTTTGGCAGCTGTTTCAAGGCAGTTCCCATGTGAAGCCGCTGGTGAGGGAAAAGGAGAATGCAACCACGCCGAGCAGGAATGCACGCCAGTGGCTCAGGAGAATCAGGGCATTGGTCGGGCGTTCCATCCAGGAGCCAAGTCTCACCGCCATTGCAACAATCCGTCAGGTACAGGAGCAGTGTGTGCGTTGTGCTGAAGTCTGAAGGTCCATAGCCAGGCAATTCTGCAGAGATGTAGCCGGGCAACCACTCATAGTCAACATGGGGAACCAGGGGTATGTTGGGCCTTTTGTATCGTAGGAATCTAAGCCATGGAGAAACATGCACCTCTTCAAACTGTGCCTGCCTTAAGAGGTGTGTAAGGGCATCTTTGATATGTCCCACAGCATCACAGAAGAATAGACGCTCGGCTGCCCGTCGACCCATTTCTGTCTCTGGGACCGGTAGGGACTTGCCCAAGTCATCCAGCATCTGAAGGGAATCCTCCTGGAAACTTCTAGATAAAAACCAACTCCCCACCATACCAGCCTCAGGGAGAAGCAGCTTAGGCACCAGATCCAATCCACTCAGCGTGAATTCCGCTGCAGTCCCTACACTCACAACGTGGCCAAAAGAACGCAGCACATCAACAATCTTCCCATGATGATGCGCAGCTGCTGCTTCAAGGGGCGTTACCCCTCCACTTGCCGGAATTGCCTTGGCACCATGACGGAGCAGGATCTTCACTGCTTCAGTGTGGCCGTACCAAGATGCTAAAAACAAGGCGGTTTGTCCGAACAAGTTTTTCCCGTCAATGTCCACACCAGCATTGAGGAGCGCTTGCAGCCACTCCACATCTCCAAGCGCAGCTGCATTCTCGAAAAGCAGCATGCGTCGTGCTCTCGTGCCCCCAAGAGGCTGCTTGAAATGGTCCGTCTCGACGCTACGCGCTTTTCTTGTCCAATGCTTCGGCAACGACAGGAACTTCTTCAGGCTTGCTTCTCGCAGTTCAAGAGCTGATTGATCAACACTTGCCCCTGCTGCAGCCTCAGCTAAACCCGGCGCAGCTTTGCAAATGTTTTTCCGACGCGAAGGCCCAAAAGCGAGTCTGAGGGCAAACAGACCTGTACTTAAACCCATTCCAGACAGAGGTTGAAGACGAAACGGTCTCTGTGGACTTCGGCACAAAGCTTTGTTGTGCACTTGCAAACATGGCACCTCTGAGTATCGACAGCAGGTGTAGGGTCTGCTCTCCATGTGGTGAAACTGCGCGCATTTTCCAAACCCTTGCTTGAACCTCATGACAACACCCGCTGTGCAATCATACGATAATTCAATGGTATGCAATAAGGAACTGCAATCAAACTTGTCGCAGGAGCATTGGGCTGGCGCATGCCATACCACCAAGTCTGACACTCCAGGCTACTACGCCTACGAGAGACCTCCCCACCTGTCTCAAGGAAAAATTCACTAGGGTGAACAAGATTACAGTGGAATGATCCTGGCTTCTTTTGGGCTCTGAGGCTCGTGCGGCAGCATGACGCTGCTCCAGCTCCGCTCGTGCCCTCTGCTCGGCCTCCCTGTCGTTCTGCAGCCTCATGGAATAGCCAGGCTTTACCAGGAAGACACATATGGTAGTTTGGGCAATGACTACGATAATCTTCACCTCATGGTCAAAAAGAGACAGCATGATGGGGAGGATGCTTCAGCCTAGCTTAGGTAGAAGTGACAGAACTGGAATGTTGAAGCCAGGCATTCCAAGGGAAAAGATCTCTGTGGCTGAAGCTGCCTCAGAACAGAAGCCTCACCACTCAGCCCCTTCGGTAAGTTGTCCTATGATCTGGCCTTGTGCATTCTGCCTTCCATTCGTCCAGCTCCTGGTGACTCAACAGCGAGAATGGGGCACGAATATCAAAACACAGCACCAGAATGATCTCAACAACCGCGGATGGAATCAACAAGTAAATGGGAATGCTAGCGTTCAAGCAGCGGGAATATAACGGAAGCACTACTAGCAGTAGCGCCACAGTAGCGCAACAGTGAGAACAAAAGTAACAGTAGCGTGGTGGTAGCAACAATGGCAGAACCTCCACCAGCAGCAGTACCAGCAGAAGAAGCACCACCAGTGCCAGCACCACCAGCACCAGCAGCAGGAACATTGATAGCGAAAGCACATGTACTTGAAAGAATAGCAACAACCAGCACAGCAGCAATAGCTCCTTGAGGACGCTTGCATGGGATTCTCCAGCTCTTGCTTGGTTATGCCTTTCAAGGTCCTGCCACGACTGCAAGATGGGGCCATGTAGCGGTGTCTCAAAGTTATGGAAACTCGTCCTCTGTCAATACTGTTGAAATTTGATTTTGATGCCGCCGCTGCTTTCCACCATCCTCAAACCCTTTGTGCTCCATTTTGCAACGTAGACAGAAACTAGAATATGAAGTCGTTGCAAGATGCCACACGCTTAAGTTGTCTGAGTTTTTGGTCTGAGAGGCTATGTGATTTCCCTCTGCCCAACTGGTGCTACAATGATAGCTACCAGCAACACCACTGCCATCGTCTTCATGAAGATGATGAACTTCTAGTCGGGCCTTGAGGTTCCGGCTGTGAGTGGCTTCAAGGGAGGCACGCCTCTGCATGCATTTTCTGGTACCATGATGCGAGCTTCAAGACATGGCCAAACGAAACTGGGCAACCGACATCAACTCTGACTCTCTGTTGGCGGCCTGTTGCTGTGGCTGACAAGGCAAGATGCTGGCCACGGGGAAAAGCTTCAGCTTTGTCAGCCAGAGGACGGTAGCTGCATGCTCGCATGGTCATCAGAAGCTAGACAAGACTCAAACAATTCAGGCCTCCCTCCACTGCTCACGGTGATGTTGCAAGACGGACTCCATATCTCGCGACTTCTCCTCCTTCATGCATAGTGGCTGCAAAAACAGAGTGGCACAGACAAGTTTGCCAGTATCGTGATGAATGGTTGGTTGGGCAAAGTTGAAAATGGCTGCGTCTGCGGAATCAGAAAAAGCCATGCACTGAAGCTGGTCCTCAAACTGACTGATGCGAGCCAGCAGGGCCTTGCGGTCCTCCTCGTGAAAAGCACCATGGAATCACGTGGGAGAAATGGGGCCAGGTGCGCAACATCCCAGTCGCTTTGAGGAGTGCGCCTCAGACTTTGCCTGAACCTCTAGGAAGGCAGCCCGTTCAAGCTCCATCTCACGAACCTGCAAATTGCTGGAGAGGCGGCCATCAAACAATGTAGAATCTCTAAGCAGAAATATGGCCAGCATGACCCATACACACTTGTAAATTGAACGAGATGAACCAAGCCTTCTGTTGCAAAGCACGGCAATCTGCAAGCACTGCTCGAGAGTTCTCCTGCATACCAGATATGATGGAAGTCGATTGCAAGAACTGAAGCTTGGGTTGGGATCAAAGAGTGCATCCTTCACTTTCCGTCGAGCTTTCATTTTCTGGGCATAAGGCCGATATCGAAAATGACAAGTCAAAGGAAACGAACATGACCTCTACGGGTCACATGCTTCATTTCTGGGCCGAGACCGCCCGAAACACAGTGCAAAGCCCGACTGAGAGACGTGATACACATTGTTGCTTGCATCGAAAAAGGTAGGGCGACAGCTCGCAAAGACAGCAGCATTTTGAGATTTCATGTAGCAGCTAATGTAACAACGTAGGCAAGCCTCCAGCTGGCGCAGATCAGCACCTGACCGGCGCACGAGGCAGTAGCCAAGACAAATACAACTTTGCACGCATAAGCACTTCAACGATTCAATCAGGAGGATCGCAGGATGTGTAGAGAACGCGAAAGTTCAACGTACGCGCGGCAATACAGGGTCCATCCGTATTGCTTTGCTGTTTATTTCAAGTGACCACCTTAGATTCAGCGCATAAAGTCTCTGCCTGCCACCGCTTGCGCTTCTTGCGCTACACGGAACTGATGCCGCTCACGCTCCAAGGTAGCCTTCAGGCAGAGGCTTAGACAACGGCCACACAAAGTGCACAAAGAGATTAAGGATGACTACTGCAATCTAAACGGCCAGGACTGTGCTGCCTTGGGCACTGAGAGGATTCACAGAATCATTCCAGGATGCATAGGATGCTGGTTGTTGCAAAGAAGGCCATGGTTTGAGACATCCCTCCACAGCCTCTGCTTCACGGAGACGGTCCTGCAAGTCAGAAAGGATCAGGCTTCGGGCCGTCTGCATCTCCCCTCCCATGTGTCCCAAGAATCATGGTCCTGCTTTGCCCTGTGCCATTAGAATTTTCCACGCTTTCGCTTCATGGCTATCACTCTTTGTGCCTGCAGCACTTGGACCTGGAAGCCGGCTTCTTTGGCGCGCTGGTTAGCCGCCTGAAGCACAGAACACGTCTGTTATCTGCCCCTTCGTCCTAGCAAGTTCAGCCTCTTCGGCGGCGATTGCGCGCTGCCGACCCTCCTGGAGCCATCAATCACGCTTTGCTCTGATCAGAAACATTCACATGGGGACTAAATGATGCACTGGAGGCAGCAACGCTCCACGCACTCTGCTGCATCACTCAGGATGGATGGTGGGCAGGGCAAAATGTCCTGGACCGAATCTGCAAGCATTCTCACCTGCGTCAGGATGCGTCAGGCAGCACTCGCCAAAACTTATCCACCATAGGCACTGTCACTTAAATGGCAGGCCTCCTCCAAGCGGCGCTCACACTCCATTTCCAGGTTGGACCGCACCTGTTCGTGGATCAGGCACATATGGCACACCCACTTGAGAAACTCTACCAAAAACACATCACAAGCTCTGGAGTCCAAGCCCATCTACGTTCATGTGTTCCAGCCAGTTCTGCCAATTCACGGCAGTGAGCTGGGGAACTGGAACTCTTTTTATCAGTCACAACGAAGCTAGGGCAATGTTTAAAAGCAAAGGTGGACCTTGAGAAGCTCCAACCGTTCAGCTTCCACCTACTCAGGATGCAGCCAGTCAGACAAAACAGAAACATGCACCGTATACATCATATATATATATACATGTATATTTATCTATATAAATATATACATTATATATATGTATTTATACATATATAAGTATGCTGCATAGGTACAAGTACCTGGGCAGTTCCGTGAAGCTTCAGTGAAGGACAGCAGCCGTCAATGGAGACTCTCACAAATGTTCATTGGAGGCCTGCTTCTTGAGCTCCTCGTGCTCTACCTGCCATGTGTAGAACATCCAAACTTATTTCAACATTGGCTTCTCGTCGGCAACGCGGGCACCCTCGGAGTTTCTTCCAAAAGCAGTACACGAGGCCATGCCAAAGCGACTACGACTGCGAGTGTGATTTGCCAAACGTTGCCACTGCCTTTGTTTTTTTTTTAATGTTTTTGCGCGAGGGCCCTTGCAGCTGAGGAAAAGGTCTGACGGGTGTGCGCACGGGCTTTGACACTGACCCTTAGCAATGCTTGGCAAGCCAGGGATGTTGGGGATACTGTCTACATTTTGGATGGGATCCATGTAGGCTCATTGTGCAACGCCGCCAGACGTCTCAGACCAGTCAGGATGGACCCGGTGAAGAGGCATCGCGCCACCACGTGGGAAGATGCGTGGCCGCCGGCAACCCATCGCAGCTGAGCCTTGGAGTCCAGGTGGCGGAGGGTGCGAAACGCCACGCGGCTGGCGAGCTTGTCAACAAACGTGTCGTAGAAAGCACTAACCTGCAGAACAACCTTGCGACCCTGCGGGCCAGGGATGTCCATTTCATTCAGCTCTGCCGTGGACATGGCGCCAAGGACGCCGCGGAGTAGGCCCTCGGCCTCCTTGAGGGTCAGCCCGCTCACAGCCAGGCGTTCCAGAGCTACCTCCCCGCGAAGCGCTCCTGCAAACGCAGACAGGTCAAGCCCCTTACTACACTTTTGATGTACCAGACTCTGAAACAAGCATTGCTTTACCATTCCTTTTCCTGAGTTAAGCACTCTTGCACTCCTGTGATCAACACCTCAGGAGTGGCCGAGGGAAGGCAGGGTATCACAGCCAGATCATGTCGCCGGGCCAGGAAGCCCATGCACGAGGCCATGGCCCCACCCCACGAGATGCCTGGGTTCCGTGTTTAGGGCATAGGGCTTAGGACCTAGTAAACCCAAAAACAAGTCCTTGGGTGTGTTTGTTGGGTTTTGCAGGGTATAGATAAACATGAACAACTCAATTCATTTATGTTCCAGATGCCTGTGCAGCCCAAATGAGCATGGGGAAACTTCATTCTCAGCCAGTCAAGGACTTGCAATGCCTCCAAGAGGAGGCTCTCACTCTGATGGCAGAAATCTGTTACCTTGTCTATGTAGTGAAGTATCTGCTGCTTCGGACGGCGGGAGCCGTAGAAAGGTGGGGTGATCAAAACAGAAGCCACACCTTCGCGTAGCAGTGGTGCCGCCAGCATCATCTTCCTGAAGAAGTAGGACTGGTCTGCAGTTCCCGGGAACTGCACCACGCATGCCCAGGGCTGTCGATCTTTTGGGACTAAGAGCTCCAACTCACACAGCTTGCTCTCCTCGGGTAGGATCGAAGCCAATGGGCTGGGAAAGTGTCCACGGCAGCAAAAACCCGAGCCGCCAAAGACGGCATGTTCAGCACCCAGAGACATCGTTGGGGGTGCAAGGCCTTGGGCATATTCAAGAAGGAAGCTGTCCATGATGGCTCGCCCATCCTGAACTTCCTGAAGGTCACCCCAGCCCCTAGTGAAAAAGCGGTGTTCGGCCAAGGGCTTCAGGTGAGCTGCATATCCGAGGGCCTGATCCAGGAGGCCACAGGCCCGGCCCACAGCGGCTACCGGCAGCTTGAATGATGGATCCTCCTCTTCTTGTCTGGATTCCATGCTGCTCCGTTTCCTTGACCCCCGGCTGCTTGAGCCGAACGCTTCATGCGCGCAATCTCCACGAGATTCCAAGCAAAGCTAATTGAAAACCTTCCTGACAAGAAAGTTCGATCTAGCCTCAAGGTTTGACAGCCGCTGCGATGGGCTGTTGCCTGCCTTCAGCTAAGGGTCTGGGAATGTCAGCACATGTGTGATGCGACAGGGTTCTCACACCTATGCCATGCCCAGGCTTCCGGCCGCATCCACATCCTCTGGAGGTGCCGCGTAGAGCCCTGGCCAGCACGCAGGGAGAGCTGAATACGAACGCTACGTCACCACTCTTCGCTGCTGGCCGGCTGCGCCTTCATCACGAATGTGGCGGCGGCCTCAACGCAAATTGTAGATGCCACGCATCACCATGCATGATTTTGGCACGAATAGAAAGCGCATGTCATGCCTGAAAGTGGGCCACGCTCACCCTCCGCCACCAGGCGCCGGAGGTCGGAGAGATGGGCCTGCCTGAACCGGATCATTCCATGTATAAACAAAAGAAACAAGCCCAAACTAGCACAAAGGAAGCAGATCATAGACCAGCAACCCCGGAGACCAGGGATAGCAAAGCTCCCAGAAGATTAGGAGCGTAGGGGGATGGACGTGGGCAAACCTTCATAAGCCCAGAATGGCAGAAACTCGTTCATCGTTCGTCAAGGCTTGGAACGTTGCCCACTAAAAAACCCTTGGTGCCTGAGCTCGCATGCCTCGCGCCGCGACTCAATGGCTCTAATCTGTTTGTCAATCCAGTCGAGAGTGCCTCGGCATGCGGGGGCTTCTCCAAGTGAACCCTACATGTCCCTTCAAATTCCAGGCACTCACAGAATCCCTAGAGCCAGTATGTTGTGAAAACTCAAATGTTGATTCCGCAAATGCCAAACCACAGCTTCATCTCTAGATGGGGCGAACGTTATACCGGAACCGCTGAATTGGGAATGCGTGCTTTGACTTGCGCACAAGACGTTTGCCAGCCTCTCTTGCCCTGCGTCTTTGCGCCCCTACACTCAGGAAGGAAAAATGCGAATCCTAGCGAAATTGGTACCGTTGTTGAGGTAGGGGCTTGACTCGTTGTGCCTATCACCTGAACCTGGTGGGGATTTGCTTGTTTATAAGGAAAGGTTGCCTTTGTGCACGAAACAGCCACAAAAGCAAGACCAGCGCAATGTCATGAGAGCCGGGCTCTCATTGTCGCCATTGGCATCGTTTTCTTCCATGGCACCTTTACTTGATGGGACTGTTTTGAAACCTGGTACATTAGTGCTCCATCAACAAGTGCAAAGCTTTCTGCATCTGATGTTCATGTAGAGAAGCTGCCCTGCTAATCTTCTTTGTCAGGGCTCCTGGCCACCCATCTCAACCTCATCACAGAAACAGAGCAGACCGCGTTACAGGCAGCAATCTTGTCGAAGCCCGATGTTTCAGACACTGGCCTTGGCACCGGCCTTGAGCTCGTTCAGAGGAGACTTGACACACCTCAGCTACACCCGACTACATGCCAGGGAGGGCCAGCCTTTCTTACCAGCCGCTGGATGACATACGGATCTCAAACATATTGAAACAGCTCCGATCCGCTTCCAGCAGGGTCTGTTGATAAACTGTCACTAAATTGATGTGCAGTATGGAACCTACTGCCACCTGCTTGTGCTTGTGAAAGCCTACCTCTTCTGCGAGAAGATCTGCTTGCTCCTGGGATCCGCACGCTGCCAGATCATCAGACAGCTCTCGCTCCATCTCAGTTACCTCACGCATCAAGTAACTGCCATAAGCGAGACATCACTTGAGCTAAAGCTTCCCCCGGGCTTGTAAGCTTGAGACAACACCGTCAATGCGCTTGATCAAGTCCTGCACATTTGCCCCGGATGGCAGCACGCAGTCCTCACTTTGAGACCTCCCTGGCAGACTCCTCAGATGCGTTCTGAAAGGGCTCCGGTTCAGACCTCATAGGTAGTTCAGCTTTCACCAGGCAAGGCCAGGAAAAAAGAATTCGAAATCAACAAGCATCGAGACGTTGGATGCATGGCTCCTTCTACGATGACACCGGCTTGCAAAGTGGGAGCAGTTATGATATGATGTACCGCAAAAAAGCCAAGTCCGCATCTAAGGCTCTCAAAGGACTCCTGCAGGAAACTGCCGATCCCTCTTGTAAGGCGCATGCGGCGGCAGCACCTGAATGTTGGGTACCTTAGCAGGCACAATAAGAAGATTCTTGTCAGTCAGACCTGCCTCCCCAGCAACACCGGCCATGTGCTTCTTATTATCGTGTTTCAAAGTGATGTCTGCAAGTCTACTCTGATGAAAACCGATCTGGATTGAAAAACAGGAAGCAGGTGTGTCTCGAGGGTGCAGATAGCCAAGAAAGGCCCGTGCTGACATCGTCGGCCTCAGGTGAAAAGTGCACAGAGCATTATGAGGTGTTGCAGCATCAACTGTGAAGACAAAAACGCCACGAAAAAGCAAGCGTCATCACTGTATATCCACCCCTCTCCCTTCACTCCTGAGGTTGGTGCTGAGCCAAATGAGCCTCACAGATTGAAGTATGACAACCTATCAAAACGGTTGCATCATGATTGCTAAGGCGTGTGCTGGCACGGTCTTCACCGGAGCCACATGTACTTGTGCCTCCATATTAGGCAAAGTGTTCAGCGGCTTGCATCTGAACGATGTTGACAATGTTGATGCGCCTGCAGCACGTTCGGAGAGGTGCCAGGGACAAGGACGTGACCTGAGCCGATTCCCGATAAAAACCAGTCCGCAGCAGCTGACTAATGCAAGGATGCCCATTACACACGGTTCTCGGCGTCCTCAACATATCCTCCAGCAGACGCCCAATTGCTCGAGCACAGAAAACCCCGACCCTGAAGCAGTCTCCCTTCGGCAGTATTGCAAGAAGTACGTGCAAAATCATGGCTACCAAGCCATCACAAGGTGAGCCCCTGCGCACTGTGTCCTGGAATCTTGGCAGCAGCCTTCAACTCTACACCACCCTGCTCTAGGACCCTTCTCACAAAAAAGCGTTGCTACTAAAAAAACATGGATGGCTGCTGACCTTTGGGACGCTATAGCGGCCAACGCTCTCCCCGTGATGTTTCATACCAAAGCCCATTTCGACATGCTGAGCGGGGATCCTTGCTGAAAACAAGATACAATACTCTTCTAAACATCAAGATCAGCACAAGTAGCCTCCTGCCTTCTGTTGACTGGCACCGTGATCCAATCCATTCTGAGGATACCGACTTGGCGGGTTCCTTGGCTCCGGAGACCTCAGCTATGAAGAGCACTTCTGCCAAACCCATTAGCTTCTGCAATAGGAGACGAGCAAGCAAGGAAGAAGTAGGCTTGACAGCCATGGCCATTGTATCTGCTCTGATTCTGCAATCCGACTTCAGAAAACCTGCAAGCTTGGATCCTGGCACCCCACGATTCAGTGGCGCTGCGTAAGCAAACCTATGCAGTCTTGCGGTGGAGACATCTATTGCGTATCTCTTTGGTGCGATTGTTGCAGTTGCCGAGCTGTGTGCGGCTGGACGCTGCGGACTGGGGCAGGCGAAACCGACCTGCTCCCAGCCCCGCTTGATTCTCAAGTGACTCATTCTCTGGCAACCGTGGGTGCAGCCTACACAAGCAGAAGTCTGCGCCTCACACGTGCTGGTGCCGCAGGGAAGATCAGGCCTGGGCTGAAAAGATCTTCTGCGCTGGACATATCAGTGCATTGCGGCAAGGCTTTGAATTCTTGAGACCATGGCCACTGTTTGCTGCCTGCTGGAATTCTGCACGAGAGATGACTCCATCGTGGTTGACATCGACCGCATCGAAGCTGGCTGCAACAAAAGGCGTTGGGCTGGTCGCAGTGGCGGAAGCTTGGCCTGCCCGGGACTCAACTTAGGCCACTGGTTACAACCTGTATCAAAGCTGGCATGCCACCTGTCACTGGCTCAGCGAGCTGTGCGCCTGGCTAAAATTCTGTGCACAGAATAGGAATGACTGCGTGAGCTGGTTTGTTCAAACTAGCGGTCCTGGCAAGGCCACTGGAGGCACCATCCGAGGAACCTGCGCCATGCCCGCCTTTCAAGAAATTCAAGCTGCACATGACACAGGACCAACACACATTCGCCTGCATCTGACCGGGGTCCACAGCCCCTCGGCAGGCTTCAGTGTGTCATAAAGCATTGTAGCCTGCCTATCATTCTGAGGCCAGAACATGCCCGTCCCGTTACAGCAGGAGGCGGCACCTGCGAGGCCCCTTAACTCTGCTTTCACAAAATGAAGCACCTTGAAAAAGGATGCTTGCAGCTTGCATCAAAATCTGTCTGGCATGGAGCGTGATCAATGTAGTACGCGCATTATTGCAGTGGTGATTCACAGGAACATTGCGCCGCAAAATACAACAACAGGACTCCCCCCCCTGTTTGCTTCTCGCTTAAATGGTGTCTGGGCCCGGAGCCTGGGACTGGTGTGGGGAGATGCTTCCTTGCGCGAAACGGCTTTTATTTCCAGGGATGTGCGAATGCAAGGCACACTACCCACTGTGCACAGCCACAGGGTCCTGCACGGAAAGCCGCATTTGCTTCCGGCTGGTTCGGGAGCCAGGCGACAGCAGCCATGGCGGCTAAGGTCTAGAAGACAACTGGAGAAGAAAAATCGAATCGGTAACATGCCCACACGCAAGGCATCTCAACTTGGAGCAAGAAAACGGGCCACTACATGCTTCATCGAGACGAAGCAGTTTCTCTGACAAGTAGCAGCAATTGGCAATAGCCCGCAGCGGCTCCTTGAGCCAAAGCACGGTGCCGCAGCTGGCTTACGTGGCCATCGGCCAGGTGAGTACACGCGCAACATTCACTGGCTTTCCACTTAAAGCTAGACGCAGTCTGGTCTCATCTCTTCGGCCACTTGCACCCTTTCTGCTCTGTCCTTGTAGCGTCTCAGGGCTTTGCCCGTGCCTAAGGGGAGCGAACGCTTGGGTCGGACAA